ATGTATATTCATAAATGATAGTATACTTAGTATTAATCTATTGTTCTTTCTCCCTTTCCCTCTACACAGGAAGCAGGATGATCTCATATCAAGACTAGAGAGGTTAGCTGGTGAGTGTGTCCAGAGTACTGGTATATTCCACAGTGGACAGGAGCCATACTGTCACCAACTGAACCCTCACCAGGAGTAAGGAACAATACTCACTATAATACTGGACAATATCCACTAACTGTACCTCTACCTCTCACTATCTTACCTTACAATATAAATCTTACCTTACAGAAGGTTTACAATACAAAAGCATACAATGTACACATACATTTACATGTACATGTACAGTACTCCTCTCTTTATCGCTCTCTCCCTCTCTCTCTTACTCTCTCTCAGTTATTTTAATTTAAAAGGTTAGGGTTATCATGATGGGTTTGTCGGTTGGAGTCAAACTGGCAATCAGCTGTATCTATTAGGACTACTGGATGAACCACACCTTCCTTTTGACTGTGATACCATGAGACTGTTTGAGGAGGCATATGAGGACCTGGGGGATAGTCAAGCTATACAGTAAGATGGATCAACACTAGTACATAGGTACGCTGGTATATGTACATAGATTCACTGGTATATGTACATTGGTACGCTGGTACATGTACATTGGTACACTAGTACATGTACATTGGTACACTGGTACATGTACATTGGTATGCAGGTGTACATTTATGTACATTGGTACACCGATACATGTACATGTATATTGGTATATTGATACACGTACATTGGTACGTTGCTACATGTACATTGGTACGCTGGTACATGTACATTGGTACGCTAGTACATGTATATTGGTGCGCTGGTACATGTACCCTGGTGGGCTGGTACATGTAAATTGGTACGCTGGTACATGTACATGTACATTGGTACACTGGTATACGACTATACGTACATTGCTTTAATGGTATAATGGATTATATTGGCTAAATTTAATAACAGAAGTCTATACCCATTGTACATGTACATGTATAAAGGTGTCCTTATTGTAGATGCTACACTGATTCATGATCATTATTAATTTATTATTCTTTTAGGATACAAACTTATCGTAAAGTGGCTCCAATGAAGAATCACGGACGAGACATATACACGAGCACTCTGAGGTACTATAGGAACGCATTCACTGGTAAGACTGGTAGTGGGTGGGGCTTTAGTTCATGACCACACCCACTAGACGCAGACAAGCAGATGGCTATTAACGTGTTCCTTGGAGTGTTTGTACCAAAAGAAGGAGAAGCCAATGTATGGGAACTATTACATGCATATGTACATGTACATGTACATGTACATTGTACTTACACTGTGTAGAAAGTTTGAGCGGATTCCAATCAAGTTTGGATTTTTACAACTTTTTAAAGTTTGCTCAAAAATTAGACAAAAGTTTCTCAATTTTGCCAAAAATACCAAGGAGAGAATTGTCTATTTTTATTACATTTTTTGATTCATATTCATGTACTTATGTTGCGTAGAAATTTTGAGCTGATTCTGATCAACTTTTGATTTTTTTACAAATTTTAAATTTACTCCAAAATCGGGCAAAATTCCCTGTACTGTATGTGTAAGTACAGAATATTTGGCCAAATTTTGTTAAAATTGAAAAAACTCATTCTTACATGAGGCATGTACATGTACCTTAATTGTACATGTACATGTAATATTTTTAAATGATAAAGAATATCATACATGTACATGTACATGTACGCTGCATTGATATGATATTAAGAGCTCCATTTTATTCCAAAATTAATATGTTTATCATTAAATATTTTTCTATTTATTGCTAATATTGAAGATGAAGAACCCACTCCTTCAGCAGTACCTCAGTTTTGATGAAATATACAAAACAAACGAACTAACCGACTTCGATAGACTCCTGAGCACATCTGTTGTAAGGACTGGAGAGTGAGTTTATTTGTTGATATTTTTATTTTGTTTATTTTTGTTGTTGTTTACATGTTTTGTTTGTTTGTAGTAATGTTGTGTCCCTTGATAGTGAAGGTGGTGCTATTCAAGGTAATCCTTTTGTAGTGAGAGACAAAATGAAGATGAAACTGGGATAAGTGAGTAAATAAATACATGTAAGATAAAAAATAATTTAGTGAGCATTTATGAAGTGTTTTATTGTTCAGATTTACTAACTTGCATTTGTTTGAAATAATTAAATTTTGAAAAATTGTTCGAAAACCACACATAATTATTGATATGTTATGCTAATACAAATACAGTGTGTGTGTGTGATCTATTGATTTATGATTGAGTATAGTTTTTAATTAATACATGTACATGTACATGTAAGGTATGTACGTAATTAATTATATAGTAACTACCCACACACACGCACACATACACACACATACTCATACACACACACATCAGGTTAGTCACAAGTTTACATGTTCATGAAACTGTATAATAAGATTCTCTACTACAGCTTAAACCCACAGTCCTAGTGAAACCTTGATGTACAATTTACACATGCACCTTACACCACATGTAACTTACACATGCACCTTACCATGCAGTGATTTTGATATCATTAACTTGTAATAAAGTTACAAAAATGAGCCAAATTTTGGCCCCTTCACATTACAATAACCTTTATTGTCCTTTCTCCCTCTCACCCTTTCCTCTCTCCCTATAGCTCCAGTAGTTCCAAGATGGCTGCTAAAAGAGGATTCAGTGTTGGTATACCACAGACTGAGATAGCTACATATGTACTGCTCACAATTTGACAGATGATTATTTTATTGTGTGTTATATATGACTATTTGATTATGTATTTACCACTTTCTGTGGTGGTTGAATAATAATATTGATAGTTATAATTATAATAGTTAATGAACTGGAATTGTTGCTGATTTTTAGTGATAATAGCACTGCTAAAATTAGCATAGCTTTTATAGCTACTACTAGTTTATTATTTGCTTGTTAGTGTTAAGTGAAGTGTGTGGGTGTGTTATAGGCAAGGTATGTACAATATATATGTATGGTATGTTATAATTCATAGTGTGGCCTTTTACTGGAGATGTCATCAAGTAAGTGACCTGTTCTCTTTCTCTTCATTACTTTACTCCTCTGTATCCTCTTGTTATCTATAGTCTATCAACCATTGGAGAGGAAGTATCACTCTACAGTACAGGTAGGAGACTACCTGTACATGTGGGGTGGGGACCAGCCTGGTCTCCCTAATAATAAAAAGAAGAAATCAGTGTGTTCTGTAATGGAGGTCTGTCACCTACCAACTGGTGAGTGGGTACAAAAGCCTACCACTGGTGACCCTCCACTTGGTGTCAGTTCCTATGCTGCTGCTGTCATTAGAAATGAAATATTCTTTTTTGGAGGAGACTGTAATCATGATGACTGTTATCATAATAGTTTATACAGGTAAACATAATAGAGTAAACAATCAAATATCGGACTAATCAAAATTCGGACAGTTATATTTTTAAAACTTAAGATGATTTTCCAGTGATTCTTGCACTAGATTTAGATCATTATAATACCTGTTTGCATGGTAAAAATCAAAGCATCACCTTCTTTTTTTTGTAAAGATATAACTTGCTAAACACACTTCGTGGATTCACACGATAATCGGCCGAGTTCACTCAATTTTCGTCACTTAACCACAACGAAGCAAACTTTATTCGAAGAATAGTTTTATACCACCAGAACTTTAGTACTGACTGTCTTCTTCAAAAAGGATCACACAGCCGGCTTCTTAGGTACACTCAGCTACCATAAAAAATATTTAACTTCTTCTACAATAAATGGACACGCCTAACATTATTGATTATTATTAAAATTAGTTATTATTTACAGTTGTTACATGTAAATTTAAAGTTTTTTGATTTCGCCTTTTGAAATGAAATTTTATAACAATAACAGTGATACCACTGGTTGCAGCTGCAACAAAAGACCCAATTAGACTCATCAGGATGTGAACATTGCTTTAG